CTTAAAATGCAGTGTAACCCTGGTAACTATTGTTGGAAAATAAGCGATGGCTTTCTCAGTTTATGTCCTGTTCAAGGGAAAACAAATGAAAAGTAGTGCCTCAACTGTTCCACCATGCAAAAATAATTCCAAAGTACACCTGACCCGGCGGCTTGAAAGTAAATAAGAGGAGCTCTGGGAACGTCACACGGCCATATGCCTCTTTGTGAACCGTCCCCGCTTGAACTAAAACAGAAATAATTATAGATAAACAGATTAAATCACACTACGACTCAGTATTAGATTAGTGGCCAAGGAGAGCGGATGGATAGTGGATTGAATTACAACAGGTCGCAAGAGATTGCACCGTATGTGTTGGGAATAAAATATGTGTATGTTGTATGTGGTATACGAAGTTTTGTGCAGAAACAAGACTCCTCTGACCCACTATTATCCAAACAGTTACAGTGGCTGCTAATTTGATAGTTACATCATCCCTTTTGTTTACATCATTCCTGGGTTTCGGTCGCCCGTGCTGCTCAGTGGCTCAGTACCGGTGCCAGAAGGCCCAGTGGGCTGTTAAAATGGGCGATCCTGCGGAGGTGGTGCCGCTTGTGCCGGTCCCAAATGAGCCATATGGTTTGGAGAGCGATAACTTGAGTCTGGAGCCAACAATGGTGTAACTGAGAAGGGGGTCTGAGTTTGACTTGACAAAGCTGCAAAGAAACTCCCTCTTTCAGTCTAATGAAGCTGTTGTGCGGAGGTGTGTGTGAGTGCGTGTGTGTGTCTGAGAGTGTGTGTGTGGATGGGGGGCTGGGACATGATTTGTCAAACAATCTGAATCTTTAGGAGGGCAAGAGTACCCCCCCCCCCTCTCCATATGTCTGCTTACTTAGCATGTGAAAGCAGAGTTCTGTGAGGTGGTGCTGGGGTGGGGGTTTGTCAGAGAGGCGTGGCGTCCCCCCTCCCTCCCATGGGAGACGCTATTTGACACCAAGCCAAGGAGCGTTCACAGTCACTGCTAGATGTAATAGAGTCTTTATTAAAAAATTAGCGTCAGAAATCTGGGTAGGTTTTCCCTAGAAGCTGCCTTCACCAATCACTCTGCTCCTCTGGTGCACTCTCCATCTACAGCTTCTCTCTACTATATCTCTTGTACGTTCATGTTTACCACGACTGACACTACAGTTTTTAATGAGACAACATTCATTATTGAAAACTCAACGTGATTGGTAATCAAGACAATATGTTTTAAATTTGGCGATAATGGATGGATCCCATTCTTTGATTTTCATCACTAATATTAATAAATTGCTTGAATTGAAATAACTCCCAATATGGCAAATACATGTCTTTTATATCACAATTAAAATGCAAAATATAGAGACTGTTTGGCTTCTAAATAGCTTTATTTCCCCCTGAGAAAACTAACCGCCACTTAAATGCAAAGTAATTTATTTATGGTCAAATGCTTCCCATACGCATGAAGAGGATAACAAATGATTCATATGCAAGGAAGCAGTTAGAGTTTTCAGGCCTCCATACTTCTGCTGTGACATTTTCCTGGGCTGATTCTGACCATGGAAGAATCACGTCAAACAGCACTTTTGTGCCCCCCCCCTCCCCGAAGACGGACAGCAAAAGAACTTTTAACACGTTCTTTCAGTTCCACCTGCCTCCTCTTCCGTCGATTTGCTTTTTTTTTAAAAAAAAAAATGTTTCACAACAAGAAGCTTCACTCCAAAAGCGAAATGAACAGGTTAGAGAAATATACTTGTCTTTCATTATCCCCCTTTCTCAGTGACCCAGGGGCCCACCAAGGTGTTTATTATCCCTTTTGTTAGAACCAGACCCCCATGCCAGGTCGAAACAATCCCCGATAAAAACGAGAGCCACTTGAAAGAATGCGAGCAGACAAAGGCAGCTTAGAGACAATGGTACCACACTTACATTAGGTGTCTCTACGAGGGTAGCTGGACCGCCAAGTAATGAAAGGCCACTGACTGGCTATGCAACTGCAATTACGGCGCCACAATGACCCCACACAGCCACCACTATAATCTGCTGGGCCGCAGGACTGAAAGCAGGTGTGAAGGAGAGGGGTTCGAGGGTGCCGTTGCTGTTTACACGTCCTCTTCCGAGGCACGGAGCGACTCTCGAGAAGAGATTAGCACACTGCTCACGGGACGGCGATCCAGTGAGCTGAAATGGAGACTTGCTGGTTTTCGAGTTTTCTGGGAATTAAGGGGGAGTGGGATTTGCTGGGCTTTCCCCTCCTTTTTCTCCTTCTTTTTTTGTTCCTCGTTGTTTGTGTCTTAATTCGGTTCGGGTCGCAGTCTAGGACCCCTTTCGCACTGCTGTGAAGCCATCAAGTGGTCCCTTCAAAAACCCGGGGCCCTTGTGGAGAACCTCTCACACCGACACTGGAATAAAGACCAGTGGGAAAAAGCGGAATCCCTTCCTGTCGTATTCTCCGGCGACGACCTCCATTCAGCGCATTGTGATTGTAATACGCCGCTCAAAATCTGCAGCGTGGTGAGCCTCTTGCCTCCGTGTCGCCTGAATCTTATTTCTTCGTTGATGCTGAGCTAAATGATGGAGCTGAATTGGCACTGATCACTTGTGGAAATCAGAAATGGCCAAATCGAATTTTTTGTTCCTTTTTTCGTTAAATCATGACTTCATAACGGTTTGAGAGTCAGATTATTAAAGTGATTGTCACACTTGCAGACGTCCCTTGACATATGGCAGCACTTGGAATTCGATTTGGAAACAGAAATGGTGGATTTTGCATATGACCTGGGTACCAAATCTTGGCCACGTCCTAAAGGGGGCGCACTAGTGACTGGATGGTGGCATCTGCGCGGTTTGTCCAAATCTTTTTTTTTTTTCCCTTTATGATGTAAAGGTTAATGACCCGGTCTCCTATTTTCTCCCATCAGGATGTCGCGTGTGGAAAGGAGGGACATCCCCAAGGATACGCATCCACAGGGGCTTGGACCGGTCTGTTGAGCATTCCTTCAGTGGTGCTGGACATTTGCAGCCATCTGCCCAACTTCATCAACATGCATAGCCTCAGTTGGGGGGGGGGGGAGGGTCACCTGACCTGCCCACCAACAATAGGGAAGCAGTCTGATGTACGGCGTGCCACAGCCCTGGCCTTTGTACCACCGTCAATGCTGTGGACTCAGGGGGTGCCCTTCAATGTGCCTGCTGAAAAAAATGGGGTCCTTTTCAACCTGTGGCAGGAACTCGTGTTTCGTCCTCCCGTTTCTGCTCCTGCCACTGCCTCGTCCATGGCGATGCCGTGTCCCCGGGCGACCGGCCCTTTGTCCAGAAGACATGAATTTAGTGCAGGGGGGCGTGTGGGCCAATGGTCCATAGGTGGTGCGGGTAAGACAAGACGGATACCGTGTGGGTCGTGCGCTCGCTACCTTTTGTCAGAGACCCGGCCCTCCCACTCAGACGCACAAGTTCACAGCTAAAAGCATTATTACCACAACTGTGGGCAGATGGACGAGCCGTGGTCAGGCAGGGGGCTCAGTCCCTCCCCGCGTCGTGGTCGTCCTTTTAAATAATTACTTACCAAATACTACTTTGTACTGATTGTGAATATTCAGGGGAAAACATTCATTTACCAAGAAAATTATCCTACTTGTAGATACATAATGGACAATTTCAAATGAGGTAAAAATAAAAAGCAAATGATGCAGTACGTGTTAAATACAGTATTTTAAAACAATGGTACTAGCTACTGGCCTGGTGTAACTAAAGAATGCTTAACATTTCTTCTGCAGGACCATCTGCTTAATGGTAATTTATCCTTGTATATTCTATCTAGACGTACAATTTTGGCTACAAGCATTGTTTTTTATTTGCTTTTATTTTTTTATTTGCTTTTGATTTTTATTTGCTTTTATTTGGGTTGAATGAAGGAGTTTCTGCAACTTATGAAGACACACGCGGTAAGTTAATCATCCTGTCTCCACAGCTGGTGGAAATCGTTTTCCAGTCTCGAGGTTTTAGACGCACAATGCGGACTACAGCGCCCTCTAATGGCAATTAGAACCGGCCACGGAGACGCAGCCGTTCGCAAAACTGAGGTCCGGTCCGCTGTAAATATCATAACGATTGCTTGAACATAGCTTTGGGAAACGGCTCCCCCTCATTTAGTATATGATTTTATATACTTTCTTTAGAAAGACGCTGTTCCCACAGAAGTGTGTACCATTATTCATTTATTTCACGAATCATTTTCAGCATTTTTTTGTATTTCGGCGGCTCTCGAAAAGGAAATTATGAAATGACGAGTTCAACACTAATGACGTATACATTACGTAAAAGTAATTTAAGAAAACGAAATAGACATTTCCAATTACCATGCAATTTAGGTTCATTATTTTTTGCAAAAACATATCGGGGATTTTAAAACAGAATGGACCTCACACCTTTTTTTCCGGCAGGTTGTGAAGACTCCTACCTCCCCATTTTCCTCAGATATATTCCACATACACGTTCCTCACTCGTATCCGCCTGTCGGAAATCACGATGACGGCATTTACGCCAGGGAGGAAGTTTTATTGTATTTCCCCTTTATCTCCCATGACCATCGGGATAACATTGTGCATCAGCTAGCAGACGTGCCACCGAAAAACGGATCAGGACCAAACCAGCAGGGCCGAATCCCAGCATTTTGGGAATAATCCTAAACGGTCAGGCGCCAATTAACGAAGCGAACAATAGCAGGTTGTAATCGCATGTAAAATATACACGAATATAATTTTGATGTTCTCATTAGAACTGCCTGAACACGAAAATAGGCAACTATGTAATTTGCAGTAAATGGATGACAAGAATATTCTTGCTTAAAGACCCGTTACCCAAAACTGCTTGATGAAAAAATCCCCACGAGGAATGTATTGCAACTTCAGTACTTACAAAGCTAGCCAATATCACCCATTACCCATGTCATTGCCAAAATCCTTTTTGCACCAAAGAAATACCACAACACAAGCTTGACAGACTAAAAAATACTCCACCAATATTTATTTTTTTAAATATTTTTGAAAAAATATATATTTTTTTAACATTTTTGTTTTTAACGTGCCTTTTTGCTTTAAGCACTATTCACATTCAACAGACATGGCAGTGTGGAACACATGGTTCAAGAAAAGGGGCGGAGACATGCCCAAGGGGGGCAGGAGGGGGGGCAACAAGTCCTGCAGCCATTCTGATTGGACAATTCTGCCATAAAAGCAAGTGACCACAACATAGAACATAAGGAGCCTCTCAGTTCTAAGCAATTTTTCCCCAAGAGGCGCCGTTCAAGTTAGTGTCAGTCAGGAATAATCATTGCAATAGAGATCAGCTACCAGGGGCCCATGCATGAAATGTTTACAGACAAACTTCAGGAGGACAAGACCTGAAATAAACAAGCTTGTACATCCACCTTTTTGAAAGTCCAGTGATATAAAGCTGCTCTGACGGGAAAAGAAATTATAGGGCATGAATATACCCCACATGAAACTCAAGAGGCTTATATTTCCATTAAGAAAGCAATATAACAAAAACATTTCTGAATTATTTTAACCCACTTCTTACCATGTGTCCTGAACCAGAAATAATTTGATTGCAGCCCAGAAATTGTACACACTCACTTAAGCCATTAAAATATGACCTAGAAAACAGTTAATGTCAAACAAACCACGGGAAACTGCTTCGGTGATGACAGAATCCGCTCTGTCCATCTCTCCTAGTGCCTCTTGCGCCCATTGTACCCAGGCAAGGTTTCAGAATATACTTGTTTATATGGATATATAGTTCTCTATATATACACATATATATGTTGAACATTCTCGGAACTTTAAGCATGCAAGACTAACTGAAAACTTGGCGTCGCATTAAGTGTAACACAGTGAAAAAAGAAAAAGATTCCACAACAATGCTTCGAATACTGGCTTCACAGTGTGGTGAAGGGCTACATCCAGCAGGGGGCAGCAACTCAGTATTTAACACCAGGTACAAATTCTTTAGCATTGGGGTTTAAATTGCTGTTGACCTGAAATTAAAGAGAAATAAATGCTGGGTTACTTTCCTCACACTGCTGTGACAAATTCAATATGCATCGTGAAAGATATTGACAGATTCAGTGTTACTGCTCTCCAGCACATACTGGAGAGGTAAATATTTCAAACTGCAAGCCAGTTTTAAATTCCTATTTGAAGACATGGCAGAAAAGGTAATCGGACAAACCACTACAGGTCTCGTTCAAGCTTCAAGCTAGAAATGAATCTGGCCTGTACACAAGAAACACAAAGCTTGTTCAATGGCAGGTTTGACAGATACTGACCACAAGGTCCTCCAAGATGTTTCCATCACCAATGACCAGTCCATTGAGCTGCTCCTGCAGGTGGTTGATGGTCTGGGGCAAGTCCCGGGCTGGAATAAACCATTCGTGTTCCTCCTCCTCCTCCAGCATCTCTTGGAAGCAACGTTCAATGAACTCCTCCTCCCAAAGTTCCTCTTCAATCTTCAAGAAGGATAATTTTGCAGTTTTACTTATATTATTAGGCACACAGTCAAACAGCACAGGACTATAAAGCATACTGTACTTAATTAATTAGAGGACATTAAAATAAAACAACGCAAAGGGAATCTGAGAAAACCCGGCACACTGAAAAGGGACATGGTGACATGGTGAATGGGATTGCTGAACTGAACAAACAGTACTTGAAAAGAACTTAAAACCTGCCTTTAGCCTGTATGCTAAGATTTATCTTGTTTCTGACCAAAAGATACACCCAAGTAAAACTGATCATGTCACTGATTGCTTGATTGATTAAAATAGTCAACTTTTCTTTCAATTGTGACTAATAGCAGAAAAAATAAGTTGCTGTTTGGAACAAATGATATACATCAAGAATAATTTCTGGGGGGGGGGGAATAGAGCTGCAAAAACCAGCTGACAAGCTTGATGTTGTAAACATGTTCCACACCTGTCTGTTGAACTCCTCCTCATTCTCCATCCACATATACTCAGCAAACGGATTTTCCTCATTGTGGAACTGGCCACTGATGACAACGTCATCACCAATAATGCTGGGTGTATTGCTGCTGCGACTTGGATCTTTCATCTCTGCCTCTTGCCCCCAAAAGGTTCCCTTTTTCAAAAGAAAGGAAACCATAATTAAACACTCAAGCCGATCGTAAAGTTTATTTATTCCTGGATGCTTCGTTTCCCAAAGACCCTTAGGCTGCATATAAATCCATTTTCCTTTCTCTAAAAGCCAACAATAACAACTTCAAGTTTTGCAGAACAGAAAGTTAAAAAGTTCCCACTTGTTAAATGTTTACCCTTTGCTATAACGTGGACAGAAGGTGCCGTTCCCTATGAAAAAGGTATGTCTGCTCGCCGCTCCGCACGTCTGTTAAGGTCATTAAACAATCTTTGGCAACATACTGAGATTAAATGGGAGTTGACCAACTCCCCATTGTCCTTTTTCACTAAGAGTTGAGGCGTATCCTCGTGTTGTACATCACGGCAGTGATTACACTCCTCGAGGGCCGAGAATGATTTCCCAGTACCTGGTTCCGAAACAACTGAAACACGTCACTAGAACAGTTTAACATAAAATTTCCAACATTTTAACTCGCGAGCGTCGGACGGATTTTTTCACCCACTAGTGCCCCCTGGCGAGCGTGATACAAAACGACGTCCATTGTACATATATGCAAAGCGACTAAGAAAAAAAAAACAAAGTACAGACAGAATGTCTAATGATTTACCAGGAGACAGCTTCTGTATCTTTTAGTAGCTCAAAGAGCTAGCCCACAAAGGAAATAACCCTAGATACCAAATAAGCTCAATGAATTAAACAATGCTTTGTTTACTTTTCCCTCATGAAAGTTAGACTACAAGAAAAACCGTGCAATGCGTTATAAATCCGATTGGTAGTTGGTCTAGTTAAACAGGCAATTGGATGGATTTGGTGGCTATGGAAGGTTTTGCAGACTTAACACATGCATTGAGAAGTAAAGGTCGCATAACGTAACTGAAACAAAACAAAAGCTGTCAGCTGAGATTCAGCTGGCGTGAAAGCTGGTAGACTGCAGCACCAATTCGTTTAACTGAACAGTTTTATTTTCAGACTCCCAGAAAGGAAATTAATGTAACAGTAAAATACACAAGTGGTGACCTATGCGTAAAAAACCCGGACAACTATTTTTTTACATTCACTAGTTTCAGACATCTGCCATTTTGACGAGTCGCTACCAGGTGTAGCAGCAAACAACAAAACCTGCGCCGTTCAGATCATTTTGCGGGCTGCTAACCAAAGGTATACGCACTTCCCAGTGACCGAGAAAGGCCTCCTACCTACGATTGTAAAGCCCAAGAAAGTACCAAGCGTCTAATGGTTGATAGCGAGACTGGCTTTCTTCTTTTCGGGTCAGGTGTAATGGCCGCCCAGCGTTCTTGTTTTGATTGCTTAGCGTCTTTAGCAGTTAGCTTACCACCCGTCTCTGGCACACATATGGCGCATGCGCCGGCTCCGCCCCGGGATGCCCACGCCCTCTTATTTATTGCACCGCGCCATAGGGCTGTCGGCTGGATTCGCCGAGGGTGACTTGTGATTTTTGTGAAAGACATTGACTTGAAATATAAGAATCATCGTCTTGTCCATGTTTTAATATTTGGGTCTTTGTTATGATAAAATCTACTCAATGGTTTGGTGAAATATAAATAACTAGTAATCACAGCGAACATTTTCTTACGTAAAATGAGGTGATGCATTATTTCTATGATAAGTTTAAATTAACATTAAGTAAAAATTAAAGAGTCTGGCGAAAAACATTTCGTTTAAATGTTTCAGTATATTTAGTGCTGTAATAAACAAGAAAAATAACTTCCTCGACCAGAATTCACTCCATACAGCATGACAGTTTTCAACTTAGAGACAGAACAAAAGTAGGTAGTAACTCCTCCAGGGCTGGAAAACAAAGGTCACGTTTGGTTATACTACATGCACGCTAAAACCACAAACAGGAAAAGTCGACAACTTTAATTAATTTTCTATGTAGCTGATGATTTCATTTTGGCTTAAAGAAACGCCGAGTGTGCATACTATTTACATTAAACCTCCAGTCCCTTTTATTGAGTCACAGTATAGGATTAGCAATGCCCATGATGTTATCAATGAAAATGCACAAGACAAATTATATAGATATACTATGATACGTATATCAGATTATTGGTTAAAAGAGCGAGGACTATATAATGCAAATTTCTACCGCACGTTGTCTTGCAAAGTGTATGACGGTGAGCTTTACGGAAGTTAATAACGTGGCCTGAGCGAATCAGAAATAGTTTGGACTTCACTCCGGAAGTGAAGACATTTTCTTCACTAAAGGCCCAGATTCACGCCTTGAGCGATAAGGTAAGGAGACGGACTGTCGGAAAATAGCAGGCGAAATGCATAGCAAAGAATGTCCAGGATAACACAGGCGGGGCTTTTATAATGTTACGTTACATTTTCTAGCCATTTATCGTTCGTGTAATTGAAATTCACTAGAGACGAAGCAGCACTTGTTTGTATGCGAAACATCTCGCGCCACTGTTACCTGGCAACGTCGGTTAGCCGAGTGGCTAAGCTTGTTTATTTAACCGAGCCTTTAAAATACGGTAACAACTCGTTAAAATTACCTGTGGCTTTTTAGTTAATGTTACCCGCATTCAGCGCGCGGTAATCCGAGTCACGCTCCTTTAGCACATCTCGGTAGTCTGCTAACGGAGTTAGCATTAGCCGGTAAAATTTCACTTTCCATTTTAAGTCGTCGTGGATATGCAGTGTTTGTTTACCATGTATTTACATGGATTGAATTCTTTAGATTACTGTAATTAATTCTTATAAACAAATACAGTAAACATTAAGCCTTATAAACGGTAGGCAACACCTGAACAGTATATACAAATCTTTGTCTGTATGTAGTTTGTGTATGTGTGAGAGTGACTAATATGTATGTACTATGTATGTTTAACTTCTCCTTATTCGTCCACAATTGACCGAAACGTACACCGTCCTGCCTCGGGCCGGCATCGTGGACTGAGTGCTTGGGTGTTTTTTCCACCGTCAGCGCCTTAATAGATACGGTGCCCTCCTCAATAATATTGCTAAAATAATTACGAAAGCTTTATACTTTCTAGCAAAACCTCTCTCATGGTGGTATTTTGATCCACAGCCTTGCTTCCTTTGGTGTAATTTCTGCTTTGTTTTGGGGGGTGTATGCAGTTACTGTACTTCTGGTCGACTCTCGTTCTCCTTCATGAAGCTCCATTTGAAGGCTCAGTATATTCTTAGAACATTTAGCCCCATAAGAAATGCCACACTTTTTACAGTTCTTTTTGGGGATTTCTTACTGTTTTACTGGTATATTGTTTTCAGTCTTCTTGCTTGAATGTCATTTTGCTTAAGAGTTGTCATCTAATGTCCCATGTCTTTAAAAATAGCTAATGCAGTTGTCCTTTACATGATTAGGTAATCATTCATTCGGGATATTATAATCTGTCTTCTGCATTTCCTCAACCCTTTGAATGATATCTGCAGCCATTTGAATGGCGATCTCCCCTCCCCCACACATGCAAGGCCTGTAGCCTTCTCCCGACTCTGCGTTAGATCCGTTCAGAGCTTTGGCGTTGTCCCTCCCGTTTTTGTTTCAGTGTGATGGTCATATGCCAGTGATTGCTGAATTCCAGATATTTGAATGTGTGCTACTTCGCAGAGCGACACTCAACTTGAAATCATCCTGGTGGACGTTCATGAGCTGTTCTTAGCTAGCACTGGATGTGTGCTATGGAGTATGCTAGGTCTAAATGCTGAATGATTGTGTTTCTGCAGAGATATTGCATACCATCACAGAAGAGGAGTATCCCTTTCACTAAGTTGACTTTATCTTTTGGTCTTAAAAGTTTGGCTTATCCACTGAATTCATCCTCAACCATCTGAGACTTTGAGACTTTTTTGTTGTTTTTTTTTTTTTTTTTTTTGAGCCTGCGGCTTTGTTTCCTTCTTGGGCCTGTCTCTCCTCCCACCTTGCAGAGTCATCCTCCAGCCTTTGTGAGGCAATGTCCCAGAAGGTTCCTTCTGATGGAGCGCAGAAAGGCTTTGCTGTGGGACGGGGGCTCCTGGCCGCGGCCGAGACCCTTAACTTCAGCATGAGCGAGCGCCGCTCTGATGGGCTCTACGGCATCCCCTCCCGGCCCTCTTATGGCATGGCATCGGCTCTTGGTGGTGGGGAGGGTAAAGACCGTGATGCACCGATGTCGCGTGGCCATAGCGGTGGGGGGGGCGGAGTTGGTGGAGGCGGTAGCGGCGGCGGCCACCTTAGCAGCACGATGAAGCTCTTTAACAGCCTGGGGCTCTCGCCCACCGACGTGGACGCGCTGTCACAGATCCCCGAGGAGAACATCAGCGTGGAGACCTTGCCGCATCTTATCATGCAGCTGAAGAGCCGCAAAGCAGAGGCCGGTCGCCGCATGGGGGGCAGTGACCCCCGGGACTTGCCATCCCTCTCCCCTGAACGCTCATACAGGCCAAGCCGGGATGACTGGGATGACATCCGGGGCGGCCGCATGGGTGGTTCCGGAGGACAGGGCCTTGGGCATGGCCAGCAGGTTGACTACGGCTACAACTCTATGCAGGAAGGCCCATCTAGGGGCTACGATCGCATAGACTATGGTGAGAGCAGCAGCGGAGGGGGCAGGGACCGGCCGTATTCCGAGCTTTCCCGCGATCGCTACGGTGACCTCGGCTTGGGATCCTCATCCTCGTCTAACAGCTTTATGCCGCGACGGACCGGCGCCCCCTCCCACGGCAAAGTGCAGGACTTCTTGGGAGTCATGCCACAAATGTTCCCACACGTGTGCTCTCTTTGTGACTTTGATGTGCACTCCACCATGGTGAGTACCCCGAGTGACAGCCGGCACAGAAACACTCTCAGCCCATTCAGAGCCATTATTACCTACGCACACATCTCACCGCCAGGATCACGTTTGCTGATTATTTCTGCTCATATCCGTAAAGGGTTGTATTTGGCTTTCATGGGGCCGCTCCAGCATTTCTGAAACACACGCGCAGTAATGCACCAGTGCTTGTGCAGGGTTGATGCTGCCTCTCTTGTATTGCTGTGTTCCCCTCATGTTCAGCTTATTAAATCATTTCATGGTTAGAACCTGCAGTTTTACCATTTTGGTTTCAGGAAACCATTGTTCACTTGTTCCTTGAGGACACTGGAATTTCACCTTCTCTGCACACTAATCATTTTAGTTTTTTTTTTTTTTTTAAATTTTGTTATTTTTAATCTCTTAATTGAGGTCTGTACTTGAACTTGATCAGTATGTTTTGAAAATTTCAGGGGTCTCACACTAAGGGCATGCTTTCTGAAAAGCAGTCCTCTTTCGCTCCTAAAATGCTGTTTTTTTTACAGGAATGGACTCAGCACACAAATGGACTGCGACACAGTGAAAACCGTAGGATCCTCCTCCAAGTGTAAGGCTCCGTACTGTTTATCTTGGGGCAGCAGAAATAAGATGCTGGGTGGTTTTTTTTGGTTTTGCAAACATTTAGTGCAAAAAACGTGTTGCAAAAATATAGGGTACATACAGTGTAGATGTTGGGATGTGTTTGGTTTTCCTATTAGCAGTATGACGAAATCTGCTGTTTCGCCATATTTCAGGTATCCGGACTGGCGACCACAAGAGGCCTCAAGCAGAGTGTGAGTGGCTCATATCTTTATAATGCTGTGATGCGTGGTAAGGTGACATTTGTGTTATCACTGAGATGTTCATCGTTGTCATGCATGCAGTTGGGACCCTCCGCTGATCAATCGATGATGAGTAATCTGGTCTGTTTGTTATGATAGTCGTACGTTAACACTGGTTAATTTGAGGCATAGCAGCATTGTGTAAATTTATATCAGTGTTCATGCTGGACGCCACATGGTGTCTAAGGTCAATGCATTAGAATATCAGGAACGCCATTTAAGGGCTCCTGCATGTTTATGTCCTGCCATAAATGACTGTGATCATGTCCTCTATTAGGTCAGGGTCACTCCTGCTGGAAACAACCAACCGTTCAGATGGAATTCTGGGTCCGGCTCCCCTTGTCCAGGGTCCACATAGAGGCGGGATGAACTCCAACTGGGGTATGACTCCCAGAAATGAGAGATGATAGGTGCCAGTCATTTGACTGCAGTACACACATGTTTTTAATGTCTTAGGTTTTAATAACACAGGCATTTCTTAACTGATGCAAGTAAACTCATGCATAAGTCACATTTATGTAAGTGGGATTTACCTTCTCATACCAGTCAAGGAACTTAGAGCATAGTAATATGCACTGAAGAACATTAAATAAATGAAAAGAGAATGTAAATTTACCTGCAGGCTTATGATGCCTTTTTGCATTGGCGCTATCGTGAATATCCTTTGGTTTTGCATAAGTCCAGATTTACTTATGTTGAAAGTTGGTTGACAATACAGAAGCTCTTCAACTTAAGATGGGGTTACATTCCAATGAACCCATTGTAAGTTGAAAATATCCAGTATGATATGACACACTGGGATGTGTAATAGACATATTGGGCTTGGGAAAAATTGGTTAAACACTGAGAGAAAACACCCTACAGTATGTTGTTAAACACTGTATGAGATGCTTACGCTCGTCATTGCTACACAAACTAGAAGCATGGCTGGGTGGGTACTGCCATCGCTCAGCGTCAGTAGAAAGTGTCGTACAGCATATCGGCAGCCCTGGAACAGATCAAAATCCAAGTAAAAATATCACATGTTGGACCATCATAAAGCGCGGTGCATCTGTGATGGTTTTAATGGGGATAGGCTTTAGTGTTCATTTTTGTTTTTTTTGTTTTTTTGGAAGGTCTTGGAGCGATGAACCAAGGACAGGGTCTCTTACCCCCACCTAAGGTAAACCGGTCCTGTATCTCTCAGCACGTTCCTTAGTGAGAGCTTCACTCGGCATGTGCTCGGTGCTGGTGATGGCCCGCTGCATGTACAACCGCCCTCCTTCCTGTGGCCGCAGATACGGAGCAGAGTCGTGGTGGCCAAGTACGAGCGGAAGCCTTTGACGCTGAACAGCTTGCTGGTGCTGGCACAGCCCTTCGGGACCGTCTGCGAGCACCTGGTGCTGAAGAACAAGGTAACCGGAGAGCCGTGCTCCTTGGCCAGACGAGTCGAGTCTGTGTGCGGCAACGGGAAAAGAAGGGCTCACTCTTCATCAGTGACTTTTCTGCTGGTGACATTGCTCGCAAATGCTGTTTTTGTTTTTTCTCTCCACCAGTTCACACACACTCAACAATTGATGATGACTTATGCACAATATAGTATATTGTAGGTGTAGAGTTTTCATTTAGATCCTGAACAACACTGTGGTCTTGTGTTTACTGGCAGCACTAATGCAGTTTTGCAGTTTTGCTGCAGTGGCAGCTGCCTCGGCCTAACTGACCTAACGCCTCCGTGTCATTTCACAGGCATTCTTGGAGATGCAGACTCACGAGGAGGCCGTGGCCATGGTCACCTTCTACCAACGCAAGCCGGCCGTGATGCACGGGAAGGAGATAACCTTCTACCTTTCCCGGGAGCTGGTGGTAATCGAGGTAATGAAACAGCGGTGGCATTTCTGACAGGTACAGTGTCTGTTCACATGGTGAAGCTGTCAGTGCGGACTGATGCCGTTTTCTGTTTTGTTCTTAGAAGGGCAACAGACCTGACAAAGACCCCAGAGATGTGAAGGGCAAGGCCAGCCAGGTGGTTTTCTTTTCCAACCTGCCCAGGGAGAGAGAGAAGAAGTCCGAGCTGTTGACTCTGGCACGGCGATTTGGCACGGTGGAGAAATACCTATTCCTGAGCGAAGAGGTAAAGTGCCCGAAACAAACGAGAATTGTCAATAATTAGTCTTAAATGCACTGCTAAAAACAAGATTTATCGGAGTAAATACACGTGTCTAGCATGTTGAACAGTCCCTGCCAGCAATCTGTTGGGCCTTTGTTAAATGGCAGCATATTTTGGTGCTTTTCTCCCAGGCGTTTGTGCAGCTGGGCACCCCTGAAGATGCTGAAATGATGGTGAAGTATTATACTCTACACCCACTGACCATCAGAGGCCGGAGCATCAGGCTAAACATCTGCACCAAGTATAAGACCTTGATGTAAGCAAGTTAATTCATAAGCGTGGAGGAATCTCCTGTGATCGTTTTTGTGCCATAATAACTTGCCTTTAGGTGGGCTGTAGATTTGTGGGTGTGTGTTTGTTTTTTTTTATTAAATTTTTTTTTCCTCACTGTATTGTTTGTGGTCTTTCAGAGTGAACCCCTCCAGGAACATGGACAGACAGGATTTCAGCAGAAGGAGCAGCAGTGGCTCAGGCATCAGAAGCTACTCAAAGAGCCAAAAATCGCCATCTTCTGGGGACAGGGTTGCCAGAAGCAAGGAGCAGTCTGCATCCAAGGAGGAGGAGCTAAAGGCTGACGACATCGCCATGCCGGAGGGCGGTGAGGGCTCCGGAGACGAGGTGGCTGGTGTGATAGAGGCTGATGACATAGAGGAAGGTGACCACGAGGAAGCCGGCGACGAGGAGGAAATGGTTGCTGAGATGGACCTGGACCAGCCCGAGCCTCCCGCCTTGGAGGCCGGGGCCCAGGTGGAAGAAGAGCCCCCTCCCCAGGCCGCGGATGCCGGCATGGGGACGGAGCAAGCTGGCGATGCGGGGTCCTTGGACGCGTCTGCCGGAGCTGCCTCGGAGCCATTGGGACAGGAGGAGCAGGTGGAACAAGCAGAGGCTTCCCCTGAGGAGGAAGCTGAGGGCAAAGGTGATTCGCTGCCCGCAGAACCTTCTGGAAGCTTGGAGACTCAAGGGGAGGAGCCGATGCCAGATCAGGCAAGTGTCAGCCCAGACTGCCAGCCATTTTCATGGGATTAAGTGGGATTAAGTGTCCAGGAGGCAGTGAGTTACTCTTACTGCCTTTTGGACATGGTACCAATGACTCGGGTAGTAAATGAAGCCACATGTGATGTTGTCTTGAGCAAAAAACAAAAAAAAGAGTAATATAGTTTGAATGTTTTCACAAGGTAGCTGTCTTAATGCTTGGAGTTTGGGTTTTTACAAAAGGAATAAAAGAGGAAATAGGTTTGTAATTGGCACAAGCAACCTTTTCTAGACCCATTTAAGGGCATGAAAGTCTGTTATGGATGGCAGATCGTCCCCCAGTGGTCTCCATAAAACATCGCTATTAACCATTTGTGCGCTTCCTTTGGGCTCCTCCCAGGATGTCCCAAATGAACAGGACTTTCCAGAGAACATGGATGACTTTGTGACTCTGGATGAGGTAGCAGAGGAGGAGGATAGTGACACCCAGCTGAAATCGGGGGACGCGCCTACAGGTACAGCCTTCGCTCGTTATCCTAAACGTGGCACTTTTCACCGTGTGTACGTGTCCTCGACTTTGGAGACGTATGGGGGGTCATTAAAGTGAAAGTCATGATGAAATTCCCGCAAGTAAACAAACTTGTGTTTTCCGGTCCTAAAGTCCGAGTATCAGAATGGGGCTGATGCCAGATAGTGTTTATAATTACCCAGCGTGTACCCGTAATGTACATACACCACTGTGAAGTGTTACTTAGACCGTTCAGTCCGTTATAGAATTTCCTGTGATCTTAATTAGCAACGATAATGATTACATTTGTGACACACATACAGTTTGCTAGCTGAAGTTACTGGACAGTGTTTAAGATGGCAGTTTTACCCACTACTCCTATTTGAATTCTCAAGATTTAGCGTGTCACTTTTCCTAGTGATTGCATGCAGATTATCCATAAATGACTTTTTTTTTCTTTTGCTTTTTTTTTCAGGAAGCCCAGGCAGAAGTGGGGTTAGTATACTCCTTTACCTTCTCCCAAAATGATGTGAAGTTGTTAAACGTTTTAAGCCTGATTTACGGTTTGTGTGTTTGTATTTGTTGGAGTAGAATAATGCACCTTTTTCATAAATTACAACCAGGGGTTGAGGGTCGTCAACGTGGTAGGATTCAAACGTGGCTACAACTTCCTTGATGAAATCCTGATGCTGGCTAAACCTTTTGGGAAAGTGGTTCGACATTTGGTGCTGAAAGTGAGACCCGAGGTAAGACTCTTTATTCCTTCCTTTGATATCTGCTCTGAGCAATACGTATGAATAGTAAAATACATTTGGATGTACTCCTGGGATTGAGGCGCTGATTGTTATACCTGCACCTGTAGGTCTTGTAAACTTGTCTTGCGTTGTGTGACAGGCTTTCTTGGAACTGTCTTCGGAAGAGGAAGCAAGAGCGATGGTTGACTTTTACAGCGGCAACGTGACGCCGATGGTGTGCGGGAAAGCCGTCAAGATCTACCATTCACAGACCTACGCTACGATCCAGGTGTGTGTTAATCTTAATACAGGTGCGTTTTTTAAAATAATTTTATATTCTGATCTCTGAATAGGTTATAAATGTTCTCGTTCCACAGAACGGACGGGTCATCTATGTAGGCCAGCTCCCACCCTTCCAATCATCAGATGCCTCGCTCCTGAAAATTGCAGAGCCCTTTGGGAAAGTGAGACGTTATTTCCTCAACCGAATCCGCAACGAGGTACCTGTTTTGCTTGTTTGCTTTTTTTTTTTTTTTTTGCACAGTTTCATTGAAGTATAATACTATTAAGCCTTCTTATGTTTCAGTTCCTGTCATTTACATATCATGGTAGTTTGCTGGTATGTCCGTCAACACGTGAAAACTGTTGTCTCCTATCCAGTGTTTTATCGAAATGAAAAGAGATGAGGATGCGGAGAGAATGGCCAGTGCTTACAAGGACAATCCACCAAAATTTCATGGGAAGCGGTTGACCGTGTATTTGAGTCGGAAGTACAAGCAGCTTAAACATGGGTAAATATGAAGAACATCTAACTCTCTACGATGGATTTTAGGATCGGGTGTTGCCCGATGGTGCACTTTTGAAAGCATGTTTGCTGTTGAGCGTGCTGAGCATTCAATGGTCGCCACCCTCCTCCCAGATACAGACCACCAAAACCAGACTCTGACGAGGAGAGACCCCTGAAGCGGGAGCGATCAGAGGAGAAGGAGGACGCTTCTCCGAAGCCCAAGATCAAGAAGGAAGAGGAGCCCCCGGCCAAGAAGACGTGTGTGCGGGCAGAGTCGGCCCCTGCAGAGAAGCCCGGTTCCCCTGATGAAGACCAACCCCAGCAGGAGGGAGAGAAACGGCAAGATGAGGAGGGTCAGGGAGGTAACACTGAGGCCCCCAGTGACCAGAAGACTGATGATTCTGAGCCACAAGCCAGCCAGGCCTCTGGTGCGGCAGACAGCCAGAAGGACGCCCAGGAGGTGAGCAGGACCCGCAGAGGAAGGGAGAGCATGTTGGGGACAAATGAGTGCAAGTGATTTGGTTAAAGTAGCTCCCTGTAATGTGCTGAGCTACACATTATTACTGGCACCCAACATCCTCTGTCTAAACGTTTGCAGTTATATTTTGGGTTTTCCTTCTCTATCCATCTGCTACATGTAAGAATCAGTGTGTGCCACAAATATTTGTACGGAAACATCCAGAGAATTCTGAGCAACATGCCCAGCCGTCCCGCTGAAGGATTCTGCCGCTCTTTGCTAGGAGTGTAAAGCCGACAGCACAGACACCGCGCCTACGAATGGAGTGAGTGAGAAAGGTGTTGAAAATCCCTGCACCAAGACACAGGCCGAGAGAAGTGTGCCAGAGCCTCTGGGGCCGTACCAGCCCAACAATCCCGTGGGTAAGAGCTCCTGACCTCGTCCAAACTGACTGAAGGCAGTAAAGGATCAGAGAGTATTTCAGGCTGTTATGGTATGGTGGAACACCTACTTCTCAAGGTTAACATGACACTTTCTGATGGTTTACATCTGAGGCTTCTGCCCATGAGAAGTGCCATGAATTGTGTGTGTTTCAGGTGTGGAGTACGTGAAGATGGGGTACTACTGCAGGGTGTGCTTCCTCTTTTACTCCAACGAGGAGACTGCCAAGAAGGTGCACTGCAGCAGCTTGTCCCATTATGAGAAACTCAAGGTAACGGGGGCACAGCATGGGAACTAGACTCTATGCTACAGAGGGTGGGTAATATCTGGAGAGAGGAATCTGGGCATAACCATCCATCTGCCAACTCGGAGTACTGGTCAGGGTCATCGGGTGGCCTGTAGCCCGTCCCAGGTGGCGCAGGGCCGAAGGTTACGGTGCAATCCAGATCAGATGCCAAACAATTGCAAGGCACAGGCATGCCAACACTATCGGAAATTCAGAAAAACAACTTGGCGTACTTGCATGCTTTTGGGTTGCGGAGTAAAAACAGAGTATCCAGAGGAAATCCATGTAACACGAAGAGAACAGGGAAATGCTACAGAGAGAGAAAGAGGAGGCCAGCTTCAAACCTCCAGCCCTGAAGGTGTGAGGCAACAGTGCCACCTACTGGACGTCGGTGTCATTCCGCCTTAGACATCTACCGCCCTCAACATTGTGATCTTGGGGGGGGGGGACATCATAATGAAAATGGTTTCTGATATAGGGAGAGAAATAACAACATGTGAACGTTTTCTGAAGTTGCACAATGAACCATGGGTTTTATGCTTCTGTATCTGATTGTATTCGTCCCTCTTTTTCTCCTTACAGAAATACCTCAGTAAAGACAAGACCAAAACTCAGTGAGAAGCCAACGGTTCACTCTGCTAAAGTGTTGCTGCATGACTGGTATCTAATTTTAGTTTGGAGGTGATGTTGTACTGCTTTGGCTTTGTGTGGCATTACGGCCCCTCTGGATTTTGATAGCAGGAGTAGATAGGGGGATTGAGGGGTTTTCCAAAGGAAAATATATATATATATTTACTTTTTGTAACGCTTCAATTTTTTTTTGTGCTGTAGTACTACTATCCTGTTTTGTTGGTATTATTTGAGTAGTATGTACGTTTTAGTATGTTTGAACTGACAGGATTGTTTTTTTTTTTTTGACAATAGTGCTAAACATCATATGAGTATGCTATTGTGGGTTGCCAGGTCACATCAGTTATGAACACTTCTCCCTTCATCCGCCTTCCCCTTTTGAGAATAAGTGCCATTAAAATATACTTGTACTACCTTAAATGATGTTAGACTATCCTTTTAATTAATAAATTGACTTAAAGACTGCATTGCATGGAAGCGTCTCTTTTGTAAAGCAATCATTGATACCAAAGTCGTAGATGGTCACCAGAAACCTCATGTGACATCAACAGTCCCGTGGGACGCTGAAGCAAGTGGGCATCATCTTCTTATTTGGTTAATCTTATTTAGCAGTTGTGTGCAACAAGAATTAAAAGTGCTACAAATTGGGGAAAGAACAGATTCTACTGTGATCTGCAGATTATGTATCTAATGTATTATTAAAGGAGTGAAAGAACAAGGCCCATATTAATAAAAAACAAAAAAACTCTACATCTCTCTCCTTATCGTGTTTCAGTGCAGATTATTGCAGATTCTACAGCGTATTTATAGATACAGCAGGTATCTCAACTGTCACCAGGACCCTGAAACGGCAAATCATGAGGGTCCAACAGCCGTGTCTATGTGCCTCCGCGCCTGAAGGTGGCGTTCTGCTGCGGGCCGCGTTCCCCGCTATTTGAGGGACCAACCATAGAAGTAAGATGACGCATACGGTGGCCGGTGTCGCGGCGCCCATACATATGAAACCTTCCTTCTTAGCAGTCTAGCAGCGGCGGTAGTTCATTAGTCTCATCTGCTGCATTGTGAGCAGGTCCGAGCGCTGTCTTTACGGTAAGAACCGGAACCCCTCGCTCTATAACGACCCGCAAACAGACGTTTTATAACCCTGCGTAGTTACGCTGTCAGCGCGTCTCAAACTGAAAGTCGTATGCGTGGGGTGTTTATCAACACCAAGAACGTACTTGTTTTCTTGGCAAGAGTGATTTTGCTATCCTGCCTCCCAAGAACTAACTTGGGACGCAGTGGATCACTGGATTGTTCTCGTTGGCTAGGATTCAACAGCTACGCCCCTTGACTTTTGAGGCTGGGCAAGAACCAGTTTTTTTTTTGTTGTTATTTTTAACCGTCCTCCGTAATTCTGTTCTGCAGTATTGGAACTGTACTTCAGCAATGAAAGATGACGTCAAACGGGTCAGCGACAACACAAGAACGATCAAGTACACATATTGATGAACACCCATGGTTTCATAACTGGCTACCTGGGGGGACGTAAAACCGCTGTGTGGTTTTCATCCAGAAACCTAATCATTTGACACACGTTATATAAGAATAAAACACCCATACAGCGCTTTGAACATAATCAGCCATAAATCCTATCGACTCGTTCGCTAGCTACTATTGAAGACACCAGAAATTACCCGGCAGAAAAGGTAACAGCTGATCGCAAATTCTACTGCTACTAGTAGCTTCGTACGATTAAATCTGGCATATAGGTTCTATATAAATAAATGACCCTAATAGAAGACAAATGGGTTTGAAACATCACGGTGAATGTAGAGAGTGATTTGAGCAGAATGAATGAGTTGCCATCCGCTGGTCGTATGTTGTGATATTACCTGTCGTGTTATTGCCGCCGAACACCAAAGGTGAAAGGAAAGCGTAGTTTTCTGTTTTTGAAAATGCTCAGTCTCCTTCGTCGAGTTTCATTTTGTATTGTCCCCCGGCCATAGTTACAATTCGGTGCGAAGCTGCATCTGTGTGCAGTAACAATGCAGAAAATGTCGTAGCCTATATTTATTGTCTTTTTGTTGTTGCAATTATTACATTTTGTAAGCATATATGTATTTTTCATGATAAATGATTATTTTATGAGTTTTCATAAAATGATCACGGAAGACCTCATTGCTGTTCATTTTTAACGACTTCGAACCGCCCATAGTTTACTCATTTAAAATAACCGCTTAAGTAACGATCTCGCAAAGCTGTAAGATCTGGATGTGGAATTGCAACTGTACAGTGAATAGCTGGATAACAGACAAAACTATTCTTACAATTATATAAAAACTAATCAACATTAATGCTAAGAAACCTGCGGAATCAAGATAAATATCAATCCCAATAACTTTCATACTCAGTTGCTACGCTGGGCGTATTTGAAAGTGTATTTATTCCTGAATTACATTTACATTGCTTAAAACACTGCAGGTATATTTGTTCCTGAAGTTCTGCTTGAGAAAATATTTCCTGTTGGTATGCTACTCTCAGAAAAGACTCCTCCCCATTTCGTCATTGGTAACATTATTACTATTTCCACAGAGAACCGGTACGTTCTCCACCAACATGTCTTACCCATATAGAGGCTCTTCAAAGGACTTAAAATCTCCACCAGGCCCCTTTCCTTCTTCTGAACCTCCACATCTGGGAGAGCATGATGCTTATAGAACTTCTCAAGAGTCTTCTACTCGCACAGTGTCCTCTTTCTCATCCTCGAGAAGTGCCCTGGAGTCTTACTGCTCCCAGAGATCCTCGACTGTTGAAAACGCTTTGACCCTTCTGGCCAGCTGTGGGCTGGATCCTGAAGACCTCTCTCTGCTTGCTGGGATGCCTGACAACCTGATCACCGTGGAGACACTCCCACATTTGCTCATGGAAATAAAGGAGAAAAAGGCAGGGAGCCAGTCTGCACAGTCTGTGTCGTCCAGCGCACCCCCAAAGGATACATGTCAGGGCAGAACTGATTTTTGCCCTGATGCAAACCCTCCACTTAGGCCACTATACCCACCATCAGGAGAACAGACTGAGAACTGGCAGGATCGATGTCCCCCACCCAGTCAGTCTAGCTTTTTACCACAGGAACCACTTAATTCCAAGTCTAGCTATGCGGGGGACTATAACTATGGCCATTCTAGGGATGAACAAGGTAGAAGCCATGAGAGGCCATCCAACAGCATGAGAACTGGGAATGGTGGGGACAGGACTTCAGATTACCATAGGGGAGACAGAAGTATTAGAGCTGCGAGTGGATGGAACACAGCCAAGTACTGCGGGAAGGATAATGTGCCAAGGGAAGGAGGTAGTGATAAGCATGTAGACAGAGTTGCAAGGGAGGGAAACAGTCGTGAATGTTTAGAAGATTATCAGGATGTAGACAGAGCCACGAGGGCGGGAAACAGTCGTGAACATTTAGTCAAATATCAGGATGTAGACCGAGCCACGAGGGCGGGAAACAGTCGTGAACATTTAGTCAAATATCAGGATGTAGACCGAGCCACGAGATCAGGAAACAGTCGTGAACGTTTAGTTGATAATCAGGATATTGACAGAGCTGTGAGGGCTGGAAACCGTCGTGAAAGCTTAGTTGAATATCGGGATGTAGACAGAGCTGCAAAGGCTGGAAACAGCCATGAACGTTTAATCAATTATCGGGATGTAGATAGAGCCACGAGGGCGGGACACAGTCATGAACATTTAGTTGATTACCCTGATGTAGACAGAGCCATGAGAGTGGGAAACAGTCGTGAACGTTTAGTTGATTATCAGGATATAGAGAGAGCCACGAGGGTTGGAAGTAGTCGTGAAAGTTTAGTTCATTATCGAGATGTAGACAGAGCTGCGGCGGCTGGAAATAGTCGTGAACATTTAGTCAATTATCAGGATGTAGACAGAGCTGCGAGGGCGGGGAACAGTCGTGGACGTTTAGTCAATTACCAGAATGAAGACAGAGTCTCCAGAGAGGTAAATAGTCGTGAACGTTTTGTCAATTACCAGGATGTAGACAGAGCTCGAAGGGTGGGAAACAGTCGTGAACGTTTAGTTGATTACCACGTTGTAGACAGAACCTCAACAATGGGAAATAGTTGTGAACATAATTTTGATTACCAGGATGTAGAGAGAGCCTCAAGAGTGGGAAGTAGTCGTGAACATTTAGTTGATCACAAAAGTTTAGACAGAAACAGAAGAACTGGAATCCACCAAGAGCCATCCACTGACCAAAGAGGCCTGGAAGCCAGCACAAGAGCTGGGTATGTCCAGGAGTCTTCCACTGATCACTGGGAAGTAGAAAGAGATCGAACTTTGGCAATGGCCAGTACAAAGAAAGTTGACATCCTCCCTAGGCATCCCTCCAAACAAGAGGCGGACGAATTCCACGGCGTGATGCCCCAAGCGTTTCCTTACGCATGCTCTCTCTGTGATATCGTCATGCTCTCCGAAAGGGTAAGTCAGGGTGCCCACATTCCTGTTTCTCTGCCTCAAGCAGGAAGCACATCTCATGGCCCTGGTTCTTCTTGCTTGTAACTTTGACCTTCCCCTCTCATGTCACTTTGAGGTCGATTTTAATCAGGTAGGTTTTCCACTGTGGCCTGTCACAGTGAGTAAAATTTTGGAATGTGCGTGAGTAAACATTGTGACATGCAAGTCTGATTGACTTTGACAATGACAAGTAGGTATAGTATTTTTTTTTTTTGTTTTACAAAGTCAAACAATTAAAACAGCTAGGCTTAATACATCCCAAAACTGCTGTATTTTCAGTAATTTTTTCCCTTCTTAAGGACTGGACTTCACACATAAATGGGTCTCAACATGCAGACAGTCAGCTCAAGCTGCTTCAGATGTAAGTATATTCACTGTCCATTTTATGTATGGTTTCATGGTCCATTTTATGTACTTTGGTGATGTGTTACTTTACTGGAAGCTGTGAACAGTAAAGGCATTAACCTTTCTCTTTGCATGACTTTGAAGGTACCCGGACTGGGACTGTCGGAGTGACTCAGCCAAAGGGTGAGTGCTGGTGTTGAGTATCACCGGTTTAGGAAGAATCTGCCTGTAACCAGCTCTGCTGGGTATGTGGTATAAGTCTGATGCTGCCACACACTGGCTGACTTGTGAATATGATCTCATTTCCTGTAGGGGCCAGAGACAGTTGGGGGCAAAGAGGGAGGTGGACACAGCTGAAAGGAATAGACATGGATCCGCTCAACTCCCAGGTAAACGGCTGCTTTCGTCTTTTAGATGAATGACTTTTCTGTTATCCCCACAATACAGGCATTCCCAGTCGTCCAGATTAATAAAATTGAGTTCTATATCTGATAAGCTATAATAATTCACCATGTATAAGGCTAGGCAGGTTTTAGGTTGATGTGTGGTCCTCCAGATTGTATCCCACTAAATAGTAGTTCTGGGCAATTAATCAAATTTATATTTTAAATATGGTTTTGGCTTCCGACGGTTATCAAATAATCGAGAGACAATTATTATTGTGCCTCATTTAGTTTTGCAGTGATGTTCCCATTTTGTCGTGTGTCATACATAAACTGCTCCGCTTTGCAGACCCTTTTAATTTGTTTTTCAGTCAAATCATGGAGTTCCAGGAAATGCACTGTTGAAAAGACACTTTTTGTGAACGCTCAAAAATGCATGATATTTCAAAAGTCAGTGAGTAATCTTGTTAAATAATTGTGATCTCAATATTGACCAAAATAATTGTGATGATGGTTTTTGCCACATTCGAGCAGCTCTGCTAAATAGCCCACAGCTGAGGAACTTGTGTCTGACAGGAAATTGACAGCCCCTGTGATGACAGTCAAAGTGAATACATGGATTCTCCTATCAAGATGAGTTCCATTGCTCAGGCTATACTGTGAATGACAGAGTTCAGGACAGTCACGTAATTATTATTTTTTTAAAGCTGCAAGACCCATCAGTGGTGAAAAATGGCGATCTGGGAAGGATGAGGTAGGTTTACTTTACATTTGATCTTGTTATTTCAAGAAAGCTAAGTGCTAATTGCAATGAGGGTAATCCTTTGCCTGCCCCTTCTGAGTTAATTTGAGATCCACTCCCTTTATTTCTTTCATCTAGGAGAGAAGTAAAGTAATCCGTGTGAAATTCCTCCCTGATGCTGTGGATGAGAGCTACCTTATGAAGCTGGTTCAACCATTTGGGGGCGTAGTAAATGTTTCAGTGTTCCCAACAAAGGTGCGCGTGGCTGGAATCATGACTGTTCTTACCCTGTTTCAATGAACTGTTGAATGAATTTTTATTCAATCGCTTTTAAATGCAAATCTTTACATTACTGTGATGAGATGCATGCAGGTCAGTTTGCTTGGGTTATGGAGTGACTTCTCAATTTTCAGGCTTTCTTGGAGATGAAGACTTTCCAGCAGGCAGAAGACATTGTGAAGTTCTTCAGCAAGAATCCAGCTATGGTGCATGACAGCCAAGTCCAGTTTAATCTGTCTACCACTTATACATTTTCCCAGGTAAATAGTCTCGTTGTTCTGTTCTTGCACATCCAGATATGTTGCCCGTCTCTGAAATTGGTCTTACTCTTCTTGAAAATGGAAAATGAGTTGTACTCTTTTGAGTTTGCCTATGTCTTCCTAATGTTTAATAAAGAACATATTTTAACAAATAACCATGACTATCTGGCAAAAATGGTGTATTTTTAGGTCTGGGTTATGTTAGATCACGGGGTAGAGACCTAAGTGCCTTTGATAAGGGCCAGATCATTATGACCAAGTGACTGGGTCAGAGCATCTCCAGAACTGCGAGGCTTGTGGGGGGATGTCAGCCAGCCGTGGTTGTGGGGGGATGTCAGCCAGCCGTGGTTGTGGGGGGATGTCAGCCAGCCGTGG